GATTAGGAGGTTTAAGATATGATGGGCATGTGACTTTATCATGAGTTTTATTTAACTGTATTTTATATTTCATTTAATTTACTTCTTCTTATATTTATTTTATTTTTTCCATTTTGTCTGGGTACATATTCCTTCTAGCTTACTTGCAGAATTTTATTTATTATTATTTATTTTGTTTATTACCTGCCATGTCTCGCTTTGGTTAATAAGGTGTGTAGCATATTAATTATTTGCAAGCCACTTGTTGACCCCTCTTGGTTACAGGTGGGACAGGTCGGGGGGTGTTTTGTTGTTGTGATGGACTGTATTATGTAAACCATGGGATGTGACAGACGTGATTATAAAATGAAAATTGCAAGTCATAAAAAATCATCATACGTTTCTGAGAACCTCGTATTTCTAAAAGTTCATGAGCTCAGAAAAACAGCCCATGTTTTCAGCTTTTTCCAGCTTATTTTTAAAGAGTTTATTTTAAAAAGTAGGAGAATTTTCTCAACGCATAAATGAACACTTCATCCTTTTGTTTATCACAAAAATTCAAATTGGAAATCACCAAATTTGGAGATTTGTGGCTTTCAAAGGACAGGAAGTGTATCAAAGAGAAATGGTGTAAAAGACACAATATTTGCTTCTGATATGTAGTGGAGTACAAGTTGGCCTATATGTGGCCAAACAGTATTTAAGACCAATGCAACAACTCTATTTAAAAAATATGATTTTTTTTTTTTTTTTTTTTTTGCTGGAGTCCAAAAGAGAAAATAATCATAAGTAAAGACAATAAATTTTATTTGACAATACGAATAAATATCTAAAACCATTAACATCTAAGAAGTACAAACTGCAGTATGAAATGAAAAGCCAGTATTTGATGTAGCAAGTAAGTCTATCGCAGACCCCAGTAATTACCACCACGTGAGCCCACTGTGAGCCTCAACACTGCAGTCTACACTGCAACTTACACTGCAAGGAGAGACTCAAGTGACCACCACCATTAGATTTCAGTTTGTTCAGCTCACAGTAGTGAAAAGGACAGTACTGAATCCAGTTATGACAGTGTAGCAATCAGGCATCACAACAATTCACACTAAAACTAAGGTTGAGTCCAATTCAACATGGCAGACAAATTAAGCCAGATGACATAGATGGACTGGTTCAGGCAAAGCAGCGGTCTGGCACTCAGTCTGCAATAAGGGATAACATGGTTGAAATCATTTCCAGGGATTAACCCTCCTACATTATCACACCAGTTTAGGTTACCTTGCTCACTCTGAGACCCTGGTTAAAGGAGGAGACACTGGGACGATCAGCAGGCCGAACACTCTGGCTCAGACAAGGGGGAGACAAAGACTGAATTTCCCAAAGGATTACATGATTATTTATAGTGACAGGCCTACAGTCAAACAAACAAAAGCAGCTATCTGTGGCCTATCTCTTCAACATGGAGCACACATACAGAGCAAAGATCAGTCAGGATCAGTCAGGACACAGCATCACTACAACCCTAGATCTCCCTTACCTGCACACACCAAGCAGGAAACAATCTAACCCTACCTACAGAGGGCAGTGTTCTCTACATGTCCCCCTTCACATACTGTAAAGCACCATAAAATGGAAAAAAATTAAATAAAGTAAAAGTATTTGTACTTAAGTAGGCGTATGAGTATGAGTATGTGTAGTTATAGTGACATTCAGTGTTGAGAAGGTTACTTTTGAAATATAATAGGTCATATATTAATAGTTACCCTGCTCAAATGTAATAAGTTATGTTAATAAACTATTTTAATTACATCATCAAAGTAAGGCAACTTATTACATTTAATTACTTTTCTATTACTGTTGTAACAAATGTTTTAAACTGATGCAAAGCCACAGAATAAATGTTATATTCTACATATAACATTTTACCTTAAAAAATATATTTTGGATGCAACCCTTTTGTAATCACTAACATATTTTTCTCAGTAACTGTAACTGATTACAATGTCATTTATTTTGTAATTTAGTTACATGTAACTTTACTCCCCAGCACAGGTTGAACTCTACTACCTCCAAACATCAGTGTTATTCAGTAAACTTTCTGTCTCTGCCATTTTGTTTTCATCCTGATCGGCCTGTTGGTTTTTGATGACATTTTCCAAACTGTAGCCAAACAGGTAAAACCAACCTGCGCTTCAATAATTAATTTGGCGCTGAATAAATTATTGAAATATGCGCGTCAATCAGCTGCTGCCGTCGGAAAGAAAAAACTAGCAGGAGCTCCTCTTTGTTTCACCAATAGGAGACAGGGATCCCTGACTCCTGCAGAGCTTCAGCCAATCAGAGCAGCACTTCCTCCATTTCCTGTTGTGGGCTCGGGAGTTGGACAGCATTCCTTTGGACCTGAATGTGAATTAAACACCACAGCCGGAATGTGCATGAGTGACTTTACTTTTCTTCTTCAGTGGTGTTTGCTCATGACAGAGCCTCATATGTGAGTAACTGGTGTGTGTGTGTGTGTGAGAGTGTGTGTGAGGGTGTGTGTGTGAGGCTGCCTGCACCCTGGACATGTAAACAGCTTATAGCCGACTTTGCGGCATACGACTCCATATCAACTGTGTGTGTTATCACGCTGCATGTCGTGCTTTAACTCCCTCTGTTGTTTTTTATTATGGGGTGTGAATGTGTCCTAGCAGGGGCCTCGGACATGGCAGGTATCGGCTGTTGCACCTGATGTCATGTCGCGTGCGCTGATATTCCCTTGACAACCGCGGATCAGATACCAATATTCAGGTAGGCTGCTGCGTGAGCCCACGGTGTGTGTGTGTGTGTGTGTGTGTGTGTGTGTGAAGCTCCACTGCAACCTCTATAAGCAACATTAAGTTTATTATATGAAATTATAGTCCTATAAAAAAAATATATAATAACCAGTTGTCTTTCTGTATTTCAGAATAAAGTTCAAGCTGCTGCTTTATATTATAATTGAACATTTTTATTTATTATTCTAACAAACCGAATTAAGGCCTGTGTGATAGTCCAGCAGTAGTCGAGGCATAGTGACTGTCAATACTGTAGCGGATTAGTATCAGTCGATAAAGCAAGTGTCAAGCCACACAGCCAGAATAAACACAAGACTTCCGGTCAGAAATTTCAAATTAAAAGCTCGTAGCCGCCAGGATGTCTGCATGCTACATTAAAAAGTCTATTAATGCCTTAAACTTTATAGATAGATATTTCATTCATCTAATAGTCATTCAGCAGTTTTAAATTTGTATTTGTGAGGTATTAATTGCCACAAACATTGTATACAATTTTTTATTTATCCATCTTTTAGTTTTTGATGTCAAAATGAGTCAATATCTGATGGTACAAATCTTTAAACATAGCACTAAAACATATATACTAATACTTCACTTTTTACTTGCTTTACTTTTTGGGAAAATTTATGTTAGCCTAACTTGCGCTAATAACCATATTCCAACATAAAACCCGCCTCTGCACGGGACCACATTAACAACGATAAGCCAAAACAGTAAAACCACTGACAGGTGATGTGAACAACTAGTTAAAGTATTTTATTGAGAGTGGTGTCAGTTTGCACAGATCATAATATGAGGGAGAAAACACACAGATTGCTGCCAAGACAACTCAGAAAAATGGAAAGTGATCGCACCATCCAGAGCAATAAAAGTAATGCAGGGAATTTACTCCTCAATTTCAAAGAAATTAACAATTGATTTTTGGAGTTTTATAAAGAACTTTACTGTTCCAGGTCTGAAAAAAACCCTACTTCTATTACAAACTTTTTATATAGCTGCACAGATTTCTGGAATAAAGCTATAACCTTAGAAGAAGTACAGCTTGTAATTAAAGGATAACGACAAGGCCCCTGGACCTAATGGCTATACTGTAGAATTTTTCAAAAACATGTGAACAACTTGTATCATCATGTTAAAATGCAACATTCTGAAGGGAAACCTTTGGTCCTAGCATTCAGGTGGATGCCACTTGACACCCACCACCCACTCAAACGCTGTTGCAGATGAGGCACACCCCCTCATGGCAACAACTCTTCCCAGTGGCAGTGGGCCCCCCCAGCAGGACAATGCACCATACCACACCAAAAAAATGCCACTAAGAACTCAAGGCATCAACCTGGCCTCCAAATTAGCCAGATCCCAATCCCACTGAGCATCCGTGGAACATGCTGGTACCCCACCTCACTACCCACAGCACTCAAAGTATCCGCCTTCAACACCCTGGTGCCAGACAACACAGAGGTCCCGTGTCCATGTCTCGAAAGGTCAGAGCCAAGTCTGATCCAAAGAGGCTCCACCGTAGATTGGAGGTACCTCTGGGATATCGGCATGTATGTTCGATCAGATTGGGACAATGTTCGGGTGGGTGGTGAGTGCCAAGTGGCAATGACCCAAGGTTTCCCACCAGAACATTCCATAATAGCCATAGACTGTATACAATTGTAATATGATAAAATTTTGTCCAAGATTTGTCCAAAAATATGTCTTAAATTTGGTTAAAAACTATCTTGAAAAAGTCTTAAAAGCATTACATTTAATTTAAATTTGACTTAAACCTGTAGATTCTATGGTCATGTCGGAGTGGTCACTAAGAAAAGAAATCTAAAGGTTAGATAATAATTTTTAGAAACAGTTGAGAAACAACAAGAAAGATGAGGGAAAAGATAGAAACCTGAGAATAAAGTCAGAATCCAAAACTTTGAGAGTATATTTTAGTTTATTTGCAGAATTCTTAAAAAACTAATTCAGATCTCATCACATATATGTCTTTCTCTTATGGCTCTGATCCTCTTTTTTATTATAGGGATGCAGACTACCAGAGTGGGACTCACTATTCAAAGATGAATCTAAATGCAAATGTAGCTTTCACTCATGGTCGTATATCTGCAGGATGTCAATAAGGCTCAGGTGCGCAGAGTCATAATGTAAATACCAGACAGATTGGAAAGACGAGTGCTGTCCTGCTGTCTCCTCTCAGGGGCCATCATGCCCATCACGCTGCTGTGGGCCGTGGATGTGTACGGCCGGGTGTACAGCCTCTCCACAGCCGGCCAGCGCTGGGAGCGGGCAGACGACCTGCTGCTGGAGCTGAAGCGTGTCACAGCTGGGAAGGGGCGCTGCTGGGGCATCGGCTGCGACCACCATGTTTACCTCAACATGATGCCCAGTGAGACTCCCATACGCTACAGGGAGGAGACCTATGAAAACCAGGTTGGCTCAGGCTGTATGTTGTCACACCCACAATATAGACTCTGTATGTCAATAATGCTAAAGTGCTGTTGCTGTGTGTGTGTGTTCTCAGAGGTGGAACCCAGTGGACAGCTTCACTGACACACTGCTGCCCACCGACCGCTGGCCGTGGAGCGACGTGACCGGGATGAATCCTCAGCCGCTCCACAGCTTTGAGCTGCCATCACGCAGCTGGGAGTGGGAGGGAGACTGGTATGTGGATCAGAGCTGTGGAGGGGAGCCCAGTCAGACTGGGGTAAGAAACAACACATGAACACACTCACACACACAGACTGACATTTGTATTTGTTCCTGTTCTTTATTTATTCTTGCTTGCTATCTCTCTAATTTGGATAAATTAAATATAAAATGTTTTATTATACTGTCTACTCTACTGTGTCTCTGTTTGTGTCTCTCTTCAGGGCTGGGAGTATGCAGTCGACTTCCCGGCCAACTTCTCTCCAGACAAGAAGTGGAATTCCTGTGTTCGTCGCAGGCGGTGGATCCGCTACAGGAGATATATAGCACAAGGCACCTGGGCGAAGGTTTGGACGCTCTCTGAGACTATTATATACAGTGGGAACTGCTTATAGTGATCACAGTTACAGTGATCAACTGCATACATGGACCTTAAAGTCTGGGACAGAGTCAGTCCTGTACAAATGCTGTTTAAATAGTTCACTCATTCTTCAGAAATTGGGACAAAACCTTTCTTTTTGGGGTTTTGATTTTTACTCTTCAACCAGGACTAGGAACATACATTTTAAAAGATCAAAGTCTTGACTGTAAAACTTGTAAAGGGCCAACTTCCCAGTGATTCAATTTTTTTCTTGAATAGCATATATAGTAGATGTCAGAGGTAAGATCTGACGGAGTTGACAGAAAGTTATGTATTTATGAATTTCACTGCAATCGTAGTGAGAAGCCATGTCATCTTGTCCAAGTTACAAAGAGTTCTCTTGCTGCTGATCAAAGCTCTCACTTCTAAACCAGAATTCTTATTTAGTTTTGATTTATAAGGGCTACAGAGTTGACCTGTTATGGCTGACACACCTGATAGCAATATTATTAACAAATTTATCAAAAAATAGATAGCTTACCAGTACTTGAGCAGCATTCCTGCCTTTTTGGAAACCAGGAAGTGAGACAGCAGTCCCTGTGATTTAGCTTATTCCTTTCATAAAATGTTTTCCTAGAAACCTGACAAAAAGTTGACAAAAATCTGGGAAACATCTTTAAAGGGCCAACATTTTCAAAAATATATATATTTTAAAATAAAGATGATTATAGCAGTATATTTTTAAAAAGATTTTATCAGTACGTACCGTTTAATTTTAATTTTTGACGTCTTTTTAATAGTTTTAAGTCGTGAATTCTAGGACAAGGGTGTTTTCTGGCACAGGACAAGGTTGAAAAATGAGAGCAAATTGAAATATTTTATAAGTCACATTTATTTTATATATATAAGTCCGTTAAAAATAATGTTCCACTCCAAAAACAAAATTAGTGTGTTGATAAATTATAATCTTAAGGGATATTTTTGATAGGACAAGATTTGTCCCAGTTCTCAAGAATGGGTAAGTTCACTTACAGTAATCAAGTAGTCAGCTTACAGTGTTGATTTTAGACATGACAACTTCTGGAGTAACAGTTTAAAACTAAAATATCCTGTATTTTTTTTACTTTAATCCCATTATACTTCTCCTTGTGGTAACTCGTCTGCTTCCGGCTGGCTACCTGAGGCTGGTGCTGTGTGCACATTGGAATCATGATGGGATTGATGTGAAAAACGTAGTCTCCTCAAAACTTATGGCTGCTAGTGATAGAGACAGGGAACATATGTGCATGGGGAAAGCACCTGTGGTTGAAGCCGCCCTGCCCGATCATTTTTGAGTTGGACCTAAAGCTGCACTGTTTTTTTAGATAGTCAGTAAAATTCAGTAAATAGTGAAGCTTTTTTGTTTCATTACTTTATATTAACATAATAAATATACAAATGTCAATAAGATAGTAGTTTGCATGAGAAATAAGGGGGGGGGGGGAAGAAACCCAGGTTTATAGTGATCAATTAGACCTGGACAGATATGATCCCTATAAGCGGTTTCCACTGTGTCTCTCCATCAGTATCTGTGCAGAAAAGTTGAGTACAGATCAAACTGAAGTCACAAGCAAAGCCTCTGTCTTTCTGCAGATCCCTCTGGACAGTCCCAGGAAGCCCCCACTGCCGCTCTGTGACATAAGCTGTGGTGGCTGGGAGATGAGCGACCAGTCTGGAAGGTATCCCTACCTCTGGGGTGTGACGCAACAAGGACAGGTCAGTCTGCTCCACCAACAGTCATGTGACAAAGGTTTTAGGGTGTGTGAAGTCCACATAGCTTTCTCCTCTTTTCATTTTTTTCAACTTAAAGAGGACCTGTTATGCATCGTGTATTTTGGCTCTCTACTAGAACATGTTTACGTGCTTAAAAAGCCCAGTCTGCTCTGATTGGTCAACGTTTCCAGGTTTGAATCTCGGCACCTCTGTGTTGTCATTGCAGCTTGAAAAATGACTGTGATTGAGCTTCTAAACACAATCAGGCACATTCCAGCGGGAATATGATCCAAAATCTGAGAGAAATTTTTGACATCAGCGACCAAGATTACATGTTTCCCTGACATTAGCATGTAGCTACATGGAGCAGTGTACTTGCAGCCCCGCAATGACTGTGTGTAACTTAACTTTCTCCCATTAAAAATGACCAATAAAAGCCTCTAAACACAACTGTACACGTTTGAGCAGGACCGTGATCCGCAATCAGGGAGAAATTAACAACATGGGCAGCCAAGATTACGTGTCCCTGATGTTAGCATGTAGCCAGACATACATACGTAATGCAAACACTTGCAGTAGCGTGCCTGGAAGAGCTCACCGTATAAAGAAGTTCGACACAAACTGACGTCAGCTTATGTCGATAGTAGAGAAAATGTTGTAAACCGAGTATTTAGAACAGTCCGAAGGGCACAGGGATTACTTTCACATACATTTACCTCATTATTTGAAACTTTGGCCACTTTTGATATTTTTTTTGATAACATCCAACATTGTAACTATAGAAAATAAGGAAAAGCATAATAGGTCCCCTTTAAACTGAAGGATTATGTGCACTACTCACTATGTTTTTGAGAAGTTGCAGCTCTGGGGTTAATTAAAAATAATTAAAACAGTTAAAAACATATTATGTGTAATTAAAAACAATCATGGTAATACTGTAAAGGTTACTGAATTATTGATGTAGCACTGAATGTACTTTATACTCTTGTTCACAGTGGTGTGTATTTCCGCCTAGGCAGCCTCTCCACAGTGCTGTTGAACACTCCAGTTGTGCAGCCTAATTTGTCTTTACCAAACACACTGTCTTAGACAAAGATTGAAATTTTATGAGATCAATTGCTGCAAATTTGGTTCTCAGTCAGATGTTGCAGCAACAGGCTTCTGTCAGTGCAGTGCACTTATAATTTTTGATCACAAGGGGGCAGCATAGCCTCATATAATTCACATAGTTAAACTTAGGTCTTCTTGAGCCTGACAAATATAAAGTGCTGTCACTGACATTTGTCTTAAATACATAATATCGTGTATTATGGATGTGTCATTTTAAGTCTAGAAGCATGTTATACTATTTCCTACTCAGTCCAATTTTATGACTTTGTCTTCACTCTGCAGGTGTGGTTCAGGGAGGGCATCCACCCTCGGGTCCCAGAGGGCACCAGCTGGGAGGAAGTAGAAGTGCCCAAAGAGGTGGCTCAGTTATCAGCAGGCCCAGGAGACCTGCTGTGGGCTTTACTGTGGGACGGGAACCTGCTAGTCCGCACTGGCCTCACCCTGGACAGCCCGACTGGTCAGCACTCACTGTAGTTCACGTTAACATGTACCCACCAATATTATTTTTCCATTATCTCTCATCTTTGCCCCTTATTCTTTTCTTTAACAATCCTTTCTATGTGGTTATTTTATGATTGTGGGAACTATGTCGGGATATAAGAGACTACGTGCAGTGTTGTCATATGTGGAAACCCAAGACAGTAGGCCAGGATTATTGTACTCTACAAAGATTATCATCAGCAATATCCTGTTACATTTATCAAAAGTCAAATATGATGGTGTAAGATTAAACGTCAGTGTCAGTGAACACGCAACATTGTCTTCGTCTATCAGGCACATCGTGGGTGGAGGTGGAATCACCAGGAAAGGACGTTGAAGCACTTCATGTGGCTGTTGGAGTCAGCGTGGTCTGGGTGGTCACTAAAGACTATAAGGTAAATCACTGTTCCTCACGTGTGTAAAACTCTAAGTGGCTGTTGTTCAGTGTGATGGTAACATATCTGTATCTGTGTGTTTATGTGTTTCAAGGTGTGGTTCAGGCGTGGCGTCAACTCCCACAACCCCTGTGGCTCTGGCTGGATCAGCATCGGAGGGGAGATGATAACGGTGGATGTCGGACTCAATGACCAGGTTAAAAGATTTCTGCTGGTTGTGTCATCATCACATCTTTTTGATGAGAGCCTGAACCTTATCACAATGTAGTGATTTTTCCCTTTAAAGGAGTACTTCACCCACAAAATGATCATTTGTGTATGAGTTACGTGGCCCATGTTTCGCTTAATTTGTATCATCCAAAAAGAACCCTTTTGCTAACATACACTCATCTGCTACTTTATTAGGTACACCTTGCTAGTACCAGGTTGAAACCCTTTTTCTTTTATTACTGCCTTCATTCTTGGTTGCATAGATTCAACAAGGTGCTGGAAACATTCCTCAGAGATTTGGGTTCATATTGACATGATAGCATCACACAGTTGCTGCAGATTTGGACTGTGGAGGCCATTGGAGTACAGTGAACTCATTGTCATGTTCAAGAAACCAGTTTGAGATGATGTGAGCTTTGTGACATGGTGCGTTATCCTGCTGGAAGTAGCCATCAGAAGATGGGTACACTGTGGTCATAAAGGGATGGACACGGTCAGCAACAATACTCAGGTAGGCTGTGGTGTTTAAACCATGCTCAGTTGGTACTAAGGGGCCCAAAGTGTGCCAAGAAAATATCCCCCACACCATTACACCACCACCAGCACCACCAGCCTGAACCGTTGATACAAGGCAGGATGGATCCATGCTTTCATGTTGTTTACACCAAATTCTGACCCTACCATCTGAATGTCGCAGAAATCCAGACTCACCAGACCAGGCAACGTTTTTCCAATCTTCTATCATCCAGTTTTGGTGAGCCTGTGTGAATTGTAGCCTTAGTTTCCTGTTGTTAGCTGACAGGAGTGGCACCTGGTGTGGTCTTCTGCTGCTGTAGCCCATCTGCTTCAAGGTTGGACGTGTTGTTGGTTCAGAGATGGTCTTCTGCAGACCTTGGTTGTAACAAGTGGTTATTTGAGTTACTGTTGCCTTTCTATCATCTTGAACCACTCTGGCCATTCTCCTCTGACCTCTGGCATCAACAGGGCATTTTCACCCTTGTGTGTGAAAATCCCAGTAGATCAGTAGTTTCTGAAATACTCAGACCAGCCCATCTGCCACCAACAACCATGCCACGTTCAAAGTCACTCAAATCACCTTTCTTCCACATTCTGATGCTCAGTTTGAACTTCAGCAGGTCGTCTTGACCATGTCTACATGCCTAAATACATTGAGTTGCTGCCACGTGATTGGCTGATTAGCTATTTGATTTTACGAGCAGTTGAACAATAAAGTGGCCTGCGAGTGTAGTTAACAATGCTAAAGGGGGTTCCCAACTCTGGGACGTGTTAGTAGCAGTAATCTTAGCCAAGGCTTGTGTTCAGCAATGTAGCTGTTAGTACTGAAGGTGTATTTCAGTGACACCTTAATATTTAAATTTATTAGACACCAAAAACAACATACTAGATTTTTTGTCAGTAACATTTCATTATTAATGAGCATGAGCGTTCCAGCCTTTCTGATTCCTTTAACCTCACTGTAGCATGTGTCCACCCCAGCCAGCCGCTCCACTCTCACTGCTCCCCCTCTGACCGATTCACTTTACCCTCAACTCTGGATCTGGTTTCAGGACGAGCCAGATCAGGGCTGGGGTCGGGGCTAGAGAGGCTTTCACTCAGTATCTCACTGCTGAAGACTTTGCTAGCACTGCAAACCCACATCTCACACCTCCTCCCCTTCCGTCTCTCACCTCTGTTCACCCCCTCCCCCAAGGCCTTCTACCTCTGGCCTCCAGTCCTGCCCCGCGGTTGCCCTGTAACACGAGTACAGCCAGCCGTTCCAGCCAATGTCCCAGCAGTAGCGCCTCAGGCCCAGCCTTATATATCCCCAGACTATATTCCTACTGGCCTGACATATGGGAGACTCCCTAATTAGAAGCTGGCCAAGCCGTCGTCATCATATCCCATATTTCATATTTCAGGGTTGCAATTATGGATATGGCGTGTGTGAGGTGGCGGGCGCCAGTGTTACAGTATATGGCCTTATAAAGTAACAGTCGCCTGTGGCCTACTTGTGTCACTGATACACCTTTGAAGAGTGAATAAAAGTTTCATTCTATCTCATTTGGCATTTAGCAGGAATCTGACACATTTAGTTGTCTGTGTTGTCACTGTATTTCCTTATTGTGGTGACTGAGTGGATTTATTTAATGGCTCAGGGCGTGTGCCTCTGATTGTGATTGTCACCCACTGCTTTGTGGACTCTTCGCCGGGAAATTAGCTACAGAGACCATGTTTTTGTACCAGGCTGCTGTAAAGTTGGGTGTATAACATGGGGGTCACCCTCAAGTGGCCATTCGAGGAACTGCAGTGTTTTGGCACCTCCGCATTGGCTTCATTTTTCAGTCCTGGAAGTTGAAGCTTAATTTTACCTTTGTTTTTCTACTTAGTTTTCTTCTCTTTCATCTGTCAGGTGTGGGCGGTAGGTGAGGACCGCGGCCTGTATTTCAGAATGGGCGTGACGCTGTCTGAACCAAGCGGGAACGGCTGGATTCCTGTTTCTGCCGAATGGGGCAACAGTAAAGAGGTTATCCCACCCAGGTCTGTATGAATAATCAAGTTGAATCTTATTTAATCTTGTAATAAAACGGACCCCTTATTTTTTTTCTGCATGTGTTGTTTAACAGGAAGGAGCGTGAGTTTGGTGGCCAGCTGACGGATGCCTCACAAGGCTCAGTCCTGAGCTACACCGACTCAGACTCAGAGTTAGGTCCAGCTGATCCAGAAAACAGCACTAAAGATGCCCCAGTCCTGGAGGCAGCAGCCCCCTCTGTTGTCCCCTTAGGGGGAGCAGACTCACCTTCACCTCCCCTGAAAACAGAGGACGCTCCCTCCGCTTCCCAACAGGACGCCCCCAAACCATTCATCCCTGCGAGCGACAGCTTCATCAACAGCCTGGTGTCAGACCGTGACAAAACCTCCACGCCCCAGCTGTCCATCGCAGAGGTACCAATTGAAGAGGTCGAGGAGCCGTCCCCAGCCCCGATACTCCGGACCCCTGAGACCGCAGGACATGATGTTCCCTGGATGAACGTGGATCTGGAGGGAGCAGAGGCAGCTCGGTGTGCGCAGGCGTTGGGGTCTTCGTCAGGTGATGGCGGTGCTGCTGCCACTTATGCCCTGGGGACGCTGGAGACCTCTCAGGGTGTTGGAGAAGAGGACGGGCCAGTGTGGGCCTGGATCTCTGGTGGAGGCTGTGATGTGGACGCGGATTCGCACATCAGCTGGCTTAGTCCCACAGGTATATGTACAACCAGTATGGAGTGATTCTTAAAATTAATTTACTTACTCAATTAATATTTAAATTAAAAGAGTACTTCACCCACAAAATGATCTGCATATAAACTTCTCACCCTCTAGTTAAGCAAATTTTTCTCCATGAATTCAACATAAGACGTGCTGAGTAATTGACATATAAAAGATCACAATGTCACCAATGTTGTTACATTTATGTCAGTTTATATCTGTATTATATCTGTGTTTGAATGTTGTACACTGTGTGTCTGTGGCTTTACATGTATAGAGATATACTGTGTGTGTCATCTCTATAGTCGTCTGTCTGTATGTCTGTCTAAACGTCTGACTTGTATGTGTGTCTGTCAGGTCCTCTCACCAGCTCCCTGTCGCTGACTCCAGTGCAGTCAGCGGCCTGGAGCGAACAGCAGCAGCAGGAGCACAGAGAGGAGATCAGCAAGAAACCGCTGGAGAGAAGCAATGTAAGACCTCCTGTGTTCGTCTTTCTTTCTGTCTCAGATCGATCACATCTGCTCTCCTGTCACATTTTTCATATCTGTGTCTATATGTGGTCCCACCCTCCTGTTTGCCTCGCCAGTCGGTGTGGGTGCGTAAAGGTGCGCTGCGCTGGTGGAGAGACTGGAAGCCTCAGCGCTGGGTGGATGTGGGTGTTGCTCTGGAGCAGTCCACCAAGTCTGACGGCAAGAAGGACAGCATTTTCTTTGTCTACTACACACAGTACGATGAGAAGAAGGTTGGTTTTGCTGCTGAGTTTTCAACAGTTGTCTTTTGTTCTTTCTCTTTATGCTAATGTTCTCGTCTCTGTGTCACAGTACCTCCATGTGTTTATAAATGAAGTGACGGCGCTGGTTCCAGTGCTCAGGGACTGCCACTATGCCTTTGCTGTGTACACTTCCCAAAGGACCAAACAGAGGTGGCCTCTGGTACTGGCAGCACAAACAGAAAAGGACATGAATGACTGGGTAACTAAGTGTTTTTAAGCACACAGAGCATGCAGCAAATACATAGGTGAAAATATAGCTTATGCCTATCATACACTACAACAGTGGTTCCCAACTGGTGGGTCGCGGGGTCGAGATTTCTCCTCGGTCATCAGTTGAAAGTCCACCCAGTTTAAAATATTTACAGTCATACTTGTGTTTGCCAGTGCCGCCGAGCTAGTTTGCTGTCTCTGTTATGTAGCTGTCCATTATTGATTCACTCAACAGCAAGAAATGGCACTTCAGAATAAAAGCTCTGTGCCAAAAATTCACTGTACTTCAAAATGAAGTGTGTTTTTTTTGAAAACTTGACAAGTTCTCGAGTCACTTGTGGTCCATTCAGAATGGACCTATGACCCACTTTTGGACCACGACCCACTAGTTGGGAACCACTGCATTAGAAGACTTTGAAAAGACTTGTGAAAGACTGAAATCTGGCATCCTCTCACATGTAAAGACAATGGGCCTCATTTACTAATAGGTGCGTTAATATGTCCTTACTCTGTGCATAAAATATGTGCGCACACAGTTGCACCAACGCATTCATGACACATGCCCACAGGCTGTTGTTCTTACCACTGTGCATATGTTGGTGAATCAGAATCAGGATAAATTGGCAGACACATGCCCGCTATCTGCAATCAGCATACCGCCATGTCCCCATTTCTCTATATGGAAATATGTTTGCACACAGCTGTATCGTGGAGGAAGTGGTGAAGTTGTTTCTACACACATATTAAGGCCCTGACACTCCAGAGTCGGACCATCAGTGAGCGTCTGTAATTGAGATCAACCATCTCTTTTACAAGGGAGACCTGGCCAAGACAGCAGCACACAAAAAGTTACAGCCAAACAACACCATAAAAAACATAACATACACAGTAACATGTAGAAATATTAGAACACCTATACACAATGACAAGACCCAACCCACTCATTCATCCTTGTACTTATGAGAGCTTTAAAATCAGGCAGAGAGACCAATTCATGTAGTTTCAGCAGAGCACATAAAAGCTTTCTTACCTAGCTCAGTGTGTGCGCGAGGAACAGACAACAAAACTAAGTCTTGAGATCTCAGACTGTAGCTACAGTCAGATCTCTGTTCAATCAAAGTACAAATGTACAAATGGGAGTTTAAGCAGTATGGCTTTAGAAATGAACAAATACCAGTGACTGAGCCAGTTTGTAACAAGTCTCAGTGCACTATGATATGCAGTATCTAACGTGCAAACAATGTGCAGATGCAATCATGTACAACAAATCACCGTAATCCAGAACCAGTAAAAACGTAGCAGCAACCAGTCTTTTTCAGGCCTCAAAAGATAAACAGGACCTGAAATAAAACCCTAACACCAGCCTCAGCTTTTGAAGAAGATTATCAACCTGAGGTCTAAAAGACAGGAAGTCATCAAGGCAAGTGACAGGTGACAACCTCTAACTTGTTTCCCTGAGCAGTAATAACATCAGGAGTGTTCACAGACATCTTCCTAGCATCTGAGAAATGCATAACCTTAGTTTTATCAACATTTAAAACCAGCTTTAGTTGTTGAAGCTGAATCTGAATCTGACTTACACTTTACTAGTATTTACATTTGCTAGCTGAATCTCATTGCTGATCACATTCCCTGTTGTTTCTGTGTCTGTCCTGTGTCCTCAGTTGTGCCTGTTGTCTGATTGTTGCTGTGAGTGTCGAGGGATCACAGGTCCCCCGTCCAGACACGCCCTGTGGTCCACAACCTCAAAGGGAGACATCATGGTCCATGAGCCGTCCTTCTCCCTGGAGGCTCCTGCACACACTCTGCCCTGTGACCACATGTGAGACTGAGCCTGCCTGCTTTTTTTGTTTTCACTCTGTCTCTCTGGTAGATCTGGTCTTCTAACAGCTTTTTTGTGTCTGCATTGTCTTACTGTGTCACTAACATGCTAACACACTGCTCTGCATGGTGACAGTGGGTGTTATATCTGCTGCTAATGTGTCAGATCTCTGTAAGACTGTGTGTGGCAGTGCTTTGCCTCTGTGTGCTAACAGTAATTCTGGTTGCTTCTGGTGTGTGGTGCTGCAGGTTCTGGCGGCAGGTCCCGGGTCACCTGCGCTGTGTAGAGTCTAACAGTCTGGGGCTGGTGTGGGGCATCGGGTGTGATGGCACTGCCTGGGTCTACAGTGGGCGCTATGGGCAACAGCCCACCCCGGGTAAACTTACCCATATGTTTCCCACAAATGACAGAGACTTCCCACTGATACTCCCATGTACAAACTACTGATGGGTCCTTTGAGATACACTATGCCGAATTGTACTAAAACAATGTATAAACCCATACAGAAGAGGCCAAACCTCAGTGCACATGTATAAGTCAAAAATCAAATGTGCAAGTCCTTCATATCTCTTAATCAATTTACACTTAACGTCAAGGTTCTTTTTGGAGGAATTCTGACACCAGTCACTGCATCTACTCAAACTCTGGCGAGGTCAAAAGATCAAAAAGATCTCCCACCTTTTTTATGAGGCCACACTGTGCTCCTGGCACAGTGTGAAGAGATGCAGCAAACTGGATGTATTTTCTAGGGCTATCGTGCCGACAGTGCCAAAACTTATCACTCTCAATCATCACTCATGACCCACCAGAAGTGTGTGAAGACTCTGCCCTCTACCCATATTTTCTTATTGTCTTCTAAAATTTTGTGTTCGGGAAATTTATGGGCTTGAAATATTAAAGCAAGGCAAAACGCCAAACGAGAATGAATCTGGTTTTGGCCTTTACTTTTACTTTGGCTGGCGAACATGTTTACAAACAGTTACCGACAATCCTGCATAGTGAACCTTTAAAATTACATTTTTCGATCAACATAATAATTGATCTGTGTCAACTTTAATAATTGCTTAGTTATTTATCAAGTAAACATGGAACATATATGCTGGTGCAACCTCTCAAGCCAGAAAGACAAGCTACTGATATTTTGTATTGTATTTACACTAAATATTTATCTATAATTGGTACAATAACCATTAGGTAAGGTGAGCTAAGCTAAACTAAGATAAACTAAGCTAAACTAAAATAAGATAATTTAATCTAAGATAAATTAAGCAAAGATAAGATTATTTAATCTAAAATAAGATAAACTAAACTAATATAAGATAAATTAATTTAATCAAAGACAAATTAAGATAATATGAGATAAAATAAGATTATTTTATCTCAGATAAAATAAACTAAGCTAAAATAAGATAATATAAGATGAAATAAAATAATCTAATCTAGGATAAGATAAAATAAGATTAGATAAATTAAGATAAAATAAAATAATTTAATCTGAGCTAAAATAAGATAAGATAATTTAAACTAAAACAAATTAAGCTAATATAAGATAAGATTATTTAATCTAAAATAAAATAAGAAAAGATAAGATAGGTAAGATAAGGTAAGATAGAACTTTATTGATACTGAGGGAAATTGCTGTGACCCGTCACATCATAATTGAAGATACATAGAGTGCAATATACTGAACAAAATACCCCTGGGAACTGCAAAAACAGGTTACCAGTATGGCTGATAAATAAAGTAGGGTTGCTTCTAAATATGTTTGTAAAGCGTTAAATTTGAGGTGTTTAGTGTAAGAGCTCAAGAGTGCAATTTCATCCAGAATGTTCATAATCATATTCATGATATTTCCTTATTGGCACAGTGCAAAGATGTGAAGCTGTTTACTTTAAATGTAAAATGTATGTCACATTTATAATTAATTATTAACTTGCTCACACACAGGAGAGAATCAGTCTTCCTGCCAACAGCTTGTAGTTTTATGTGCAGTTGCCTCAGCATGGTTCAAGACTCTAGCATCTGCTGCAGCTGTAGAGACGTGTATGCATACATTAAATATGTATTAAATATTTGTCCATGCTCGTGCTCCCTGCAGAAGATGCAGTTCCGATGCATCAGCAGACTGATGTCAGGAGCGTTCACGTGTATGAAAATCAAAGGTGGAACCCGATGACGGGATATACGGACAAGTAGGAACATCTCATCTTGTACAGTGTTTAATAAAGACTTTGTATTTAATTTAGGACTGTCTTTGACCACTCCTAAACTTTTTGTTTGTGGCTCCAGAGGACTTCCTACAGACCGCCCCATGTGGAGTGATGAAAGCGGATTGAAGGAGTGCACCAAAGGCAACACACACCCGCCCTCCCCTCAGTGGTCCTGGGTAGGTGGGACTGACTCAGAATCTCTCCTGCTAACACATTTAATTTCTTGATTCACCAGCTAATGCTCCTGTGTTTCAGGTGTCAGAGTGGGCTGTGGACTACAACGTCCCTGGAGGGACAGACAAAGAAGGCTGGCAGTACGCTGCGGACTTCCCTGTGTATGTTACTTTTATCTTCCAGGATGAAAATAATAACATTGTAAGAAAGAGCGGCGTTTAATTTGCCTGACTTGTCTCCCTCCTGCAGGACGTTTCATGGCCACAAAACCATGAAAGACTTTGTGAGGCGCAGGAGATGGACGAGGTAATCACACACTCTCACACAGTTGTGTTGTTCTCTACTCTGAGTTTCTTCAGCATTGAAATAATCACATATTCTGCATACAGGAAGTGTAAGATCACACTGAGAGGTCCGTGGCAGCAGGTCCCTCCCATCCGTCTCAGTGACATCTCTCTGATGCCATGCCTGGCCCAGAGCAGGATGGAGCATGTCCCCGTGTGGGCCCTCAGTGACAAGGGAGATGTCCTGTGCCGCCTGGGGGTCAGCCCCCAAAACCCTGCGGTGAGAACTGAAAAACAAATTGTGATAGTAAACATTTACTTTTGGATTTTTAACCAAAAGCAGGAATATTGTCTTCTTTGGAATAAGGGCAAAAACTGGCATATTTTGTGCCTGTAAAAGTAGTCAGTGCTGAAAGCAACACTCTCTAACCCCGGTGTGTTTGATCTCACAGGGCAGCTCCTGGCTACACGTGGGCACTGACCAGCCTTTTAAGTCTATCTCCATCGGCGGAGCCAACCAGGTGTGGGCCATCGCCAAGGACGGAGCTGTGTTCTACAGAGGCTCCGTCTCCCCACAAAACCCTGCAGGTCAGTTGAAGATGTGAAACTCAGATGATTTTTTAATGTAATGTATCTGCAAGACAATAAAGTCGACATGTAAATTTGTTATACATCAACATAATGTCCCTGTCCTGCATGAAGGTTTTTATAGTCTGAGTTCATGCAGCAGGCAGTAAATTTCCAGTGCTCTCGTCCCTCTGCAGGAGAATGCTGGTACCACATCCCGTCTCCCCTCAGGCAGACTCTCAAACAGCTGTCTGTAGGCAGGACCTCTGTCTTTGCTGTGGATGAAAACAGTGAGTAGCTGTAAACATCACAGATTATTTGCTTTATTAGAACCAAAGACTCTTAAAATCTGATAAACCATTTTTTATCTCATGTAGGTAACTTGTGGTACAGACAGGGCCTCACGCCCAGCTACCCTCAGGGCTCTGCCTGGGAGCCCATCTCTAACAACGTCACCAAGGTCTCTGTGGGACCACTGGACCAGGTCAGTACCACCACGGTAGACAGGAAGTCAGGCCAGGAAATGTGGTTACAGTTACTTTGTGACCACTGTATTTACCAAAGCCATTAAATCAGCCGTCAGGGAGCTTCAGGACAGTGAGGATGGGGGCACTTGATTTACCCACCTAAGCTAAGTTTAATCAGCATGTGGCAGGAATTAAAGTGGAATCCACTGTAAACTATGTCTGATAATAACCCATCAATGACAAGTGTTTGATTCTGTGCTGTGGCTCTCTCCAGGTGTGGATCATAGCAGACGGAGTTCCATGTTTCCCCTCTGAGACTACTGGAGCTGTTTGTCACAGGCTGGGGGTGGGACCCATGCAACCAAAGGGACAGCTCTGGGACTATGGGATAGGGGTGAGTCATGGTCATTTAATACCCCCTCTAATTCATATTTTAGTAATGATATGAAGGAAAGGACACCGATCTATGCCCGAGTCCACTTGAAAAGGTGGTTGTGAGTGTAGTTCACATGTACAGTGGTACAGTCATAATAAAATCAGCGCCAATATCAAACTCATCGTGGCGAAAAATACAACAACTCGCAAGGACAGTTAAGAACAGAGAAGATAAATGAATTGTTTGCAGGTTTGAGGAAACGTAAAGAAATGTAAGTATGGGCTTTGACCTTTACTGCCCAGTTTAAAAGATTTGTCAGAAAAGTAATCAGATGTAATAATAAGTTGCATTCTTATTACAATTTTAACAGGGTAACTGGTAATCTGTAACCTATTATATTCCAAAACTAACCTTCCCAACTCTGTCAGCAGCGCAGCCTGCCTCCAAAACATACATATCCGTCTTTGCTGCCGTCTTTGTCCTGCAAACTCCGAGCTCCGTTCCCGACAGCAGCTGCTCCTCCTCCTGTCAGGAGTAGAGCTTCATCTTGCTGCTCTGCTTGTCCCCACTGATCCCTGCTGATGTCAGTGCAGCCCCCGGGGCAGCAGTGTCTGTCTGCAATGCCCTGTACGGAACAACGTTACTAATGTGAAAGCTGAGCGGCAGGGGAAAAAAACATTTAATGCAAACCTATTCTTCAAATATGAAATAGTGCAAAAACTAATACTGTTTCAGGATCACAAATCATCTGTTCATCTACTGAAGAAGCTGAAAACATGCTCCCTATACAGTGTATTGTGGCCTTGATAGTGCCCTCTAGTGCACAAGTTAAGTAACATGTAAGTGTGTGGTGTGTGCTTACAGCTGTACAAATGCACTCATGTCATGTGTGTTTGACTTCCAGGGAGGATGGGAGCACATCAGTGTGAGGGGGAACTCAGCAGAGGCTCCTCGCACCCCCCACCCTGCTCCCGTGGGATCCCCACGCAGCCCGCTCCCCCCACGGCCTCCCACACAGGTGAACGGGAACGCCGTGGGTGTGTAGCCTCGTCACACCTCCTCCTCCTTTTCCCCCTCCTTCTCCGCCCCAGCCCTGTTTGTGCCTGGATCCACATTTGTCTGCTCAGACCATTCCCACAGGCCCTTATCCCTTCATGTAAGGGGAATGCACAATCATATCACTGAGTTGAAACTGTAATATTACGGTTGGATTTGACACTTGATCGATGGATGAATGTTCCTCCCCTGGCTCGTTTCCCGGGGCGGATATTGTGTCAGAATGCAGTGACGACAACACAGAGAAGGGAGCACAAGAACATTTAATGGATCTTGATGTCTTGTGGGATGAGGATTAAAGAGTGAGTGCATGTGTTTGCTCTTACTAGGCTTTGGCTACCAGGTGTTTTGGGATCTAGCAATAGCTTTTATTCTTCTATACAATATCCTGTGAAAACCGAAGAGGGTGGGACTACGACAAAGGGCTAAGGCTTGGGTACTAAACTTGTCTTCAAACACGCAACCCCACTGTAGCCGAAACTGTCTTTCTAGAATCTTGTTCTTGTTTTTATTGCCTGTCCTACAATTGCATGGGATTTAAATTATTTATTTATTTATTTATTTATGCATTTGTTGAATTTTGTTTCCCCATACGTGTTGGCCTATTATATGTTTGCAATGGAGTGTTTTTCGCCCATGTTGCTACGACAAGCCTTTCAAATTCTGACAGCTTTTTCAAAAGGACCGGCAAAGTTTGAGATCTTCATACCTCAGTAAAATATAATGCTCTTTAATTACAAGCAGAGAAAAATGTGGAAAATTCAGTCTGCATCACCAGATGATACCTCTCTACCCTCCTGCAATAAGGAACGTTCTTCCTGTCAGTATTATATCCATCTACATAACTGCTTTGACCATGACACATGACCGTGACTGTTGAAATTCCACAGCAGGTCCGAATGTCACCAAAACTCGACATTCATCTTACCAAGGGCATTGAGATGTGAAATAAAAATCTAAAACTATTGCTTTATGTTTGGACATCATTTCAGTGTGTCACTGCCAAAAGAGCTGTCTGTTCGCAGTGGTCTCGGTGGTCCAAGATCGAGGCACCGAATCCAAGTTTCTTGAGGTCCAGTGATGATCTGGGGAGCCATGTCATCCGCTGGTGCTGTGTTTTATCAAGTCCAGAGCCAACATGGCTGTCTACCAGGAGATTTTACAGCACTTCATGCTTCCGTCTGCTGACATGCTTTATGGAGATTTGCTTTCCCAGCAGGACTTGGCACCTGCCCGCAGAGCCATGCACTGACCATGGCATTACTGTGCTTGATTGACCAGCCAACTCGCCTAACCTGAACCCCACAGAGAGTCTCTGGGGTGTTGTCAAGAGGAATAAGTAGTGACTACTGAGTGCACAAATGGTATGCCTGTTAACCACTTGGCTATTAGATGCCATAAAAAACACTTTGTGACGCCAATGAATATAATGCATTATAAACATACTTATAATGTGCTAAAACCTGTTTATAGCACTGTATAATTATAGTTATAAGCCCTCATAAATATTCATAATACTTTATAACAGTAATCATGACACAGTATTAAGCATTTTATAATGACTTGTAAAGGTAAAGTATCATAAAACCTCATTTCCAGATTTCATTACTTCACTTAAAGCAGCCAATATCTACATGGAGTAACTTATAATCACATTTTTTCATATCATTATTGCAATTTATATTATTTCATATCCTATACTCTATACTTATATCATACTTCTTCCTACCTACCCATCCTAAGCTGCCATATTATCCAGTCCTAGCTACCTCTGAACAGCCCAGTCTCAGGAGGAATACCAAGACCCAGTATTTTATTTGTTCTTTAGCCACTGTGTATGTATGTAGATTACTATAGTTTACGAGTGTTATAGGTTACTGTTACACTTTTTATAGTGAATGGTGTTCTTTGCATTAATTGTGTATAAGATGTGGGGATGATGGTGATGATGACATCCCCACTTTAGCCTGGCGTCCTGGCTCCCCCTTGCTGTAGCATATTTGCGAGGCAGCATCAGATGTGATCCACAGTCTCCCGCACTGAGGTCAGTAGCCTTAACCACTGAGATATCCTGCCTACGCTTATGTACATGTCTCCGGATGCATTTAACCTTTTTACTTGGACGCTGGACTTTAAAATTCACCTGCTCTGGATAAGGATTGAACCTCCAACTGCAGAATTCCCAAGCAGCTCTATAATAGCCTCAGCTAGTCCACCTCACACTTCTGTTGGGTTTCACTGAGCCTTTCACTCTGTCCTCTGGACAGTGGCCTTTAAAATTCACCAATCCTTGACGAGGATTGAACATTCAACCTAAGGACTTCCAACCAGTCCTCTAACAGCCTGAGCTACCAGGCCAGAGCCACTTTGTCTGTGTTTCTTAGACATTTTAACTTTGTCCTTGCAAAACAGACTGTTCACCTGAGAATTGAACCCCACTCCTCTAACCGTCAAACCGATCCTCTATCTCCCTGAGCTAACAAACTGGAGACACTCACACATGCCTCCTTGAAGATTTTCTCTTGCTCCTTTAGATAAAGCATTAAAAAAAAAAACAAAGGAAGTCCATGTATAACTAATTTTAAAAAAAAACATAGTATATGTACAAGTCAGACCAAAGTCAGGTGACATGGTATAAATGGGGCGTCCCTGGAGAACTGCAGACATGGTGGATGGTCAATACACAGGACTTTCACACTGTAGGTTTGACTGTTAACCTGAGAATTTTATGTAAAAAAAAAAACAACATAAAATGTCTTAGTACAGTATGTTGAAAAAAGTTATAGTATGGCATGTCTTAAAATGAGAGCTTGCTTCTGTGCTTGGTTTTGGCTTGACTGTTTTCATCGTGGCTGCTAAACACTTCACTAAAACATGTTCCTGAAAACATCTGAGGTGAGAAATGGAGAATCCTGAGTTATATTTGATCAGCGCTGCCTGGTTGGACTGTTTGACCGCAGGTAACAAGCAGTGAATGACATGTTAGCTTTCCACTTTGACGCAGGAAAAACGTGCTACTAACGTGCCAACCATCAGAGACCTCTGTGCGGTATGTGGCAGAGCAAGGGAAGCTTCAGAACAACCAAATGTCAAGTTCAATCTGAGTGTCATAAATACTGCCATACCAAGAGAAGATCCTGCCAAAAAGGAACAACCTTAGGACAAAACAAGAACGTATGACCGAGAGTACCTCTTGTGAAGTTACATCTGCCAGAGACAGCATCTTTTCTTTGGAATAATGTCATCTATGCATGACTTTGAACTGAATCAACTGCACTGTGGCATTAGCAGAGCTTAGATGGAGCCTCTTTATCCCCTAATTTCCCACCTCCTCAGTCAACTCCACACCAAGATCTGCCTCCCACGCAGATTTAATATGGTTTGATGACACAATAGTCATATTAGAGAATAAAATAACGCACATCCTTACTGTGTGCAGCAACCACAGCGACACATTACAAAACCTATTAGAAGTTCATTTGCATTTATTTTCATATTAAACAGTGTAATTATAAACATTTCATTCAATTACACTAAGCATGATAAATATGAAGTAAAAATATTTTTTTAAAATCTACAAGTTTAAAGGACAGACTGAATTCACATCTGCTGCTCATGTCTTAATTTAACCGCTTTTAGCCGATGACTGTGATATGTCCCTCTGATCAACTCAGCTTTAAGTTACAAAATGAAACCTCATACCTATAACTCAGTTACGTCATTTCCCATTTACAGACAAAGAAAAAGAAAAATTTACATTTACATACATCGGTACAGATCAACATTAAGTTACATTTCTCAAATGTGCAAGATTAAGCAAATGTATACTGTAGTCAAATAAAACAAGATTTCCTTAAATAAATGTTCAAGTTTAACTGAAGCACAGGCTGCTGGTTTTTTAACAGAGGTTATCTAAGATACAGTGCCTTCTGTATTTGGGGTGGGAGAGATGGACGTTATCTACTACAGGTGAAGTACGGCTGTACATCTGTGACGAAACCTTTATAAGGAGAGAACCATACAGCAACTGTAAAATCCGCAGTTAGGAGAACTGTGTTTTCATAGCTGTACATGAAATCCTGGAGGGAAAGCATATCTTGATCCATAACAGTTTGCATTACGCTTCTATACAGAAACCGATCATGATACACACGTCCCCAGCCGACCCTGTACAGCCACAGAGGCCTGCAAATGATAAGATACAATGAGATGTTTGAAAACGCAACTGGACGAGGGGTCCTTAAGGAGGAAGAAAATGCCATCTGAACAGGTTCATTAAGTTTGACACAAAGTTTAAAAAAAACAAACAAAAGGCAGACAACTCTGTTCATGACACTGATAAAAGCAGCAGTGTTTTTGTTCTAGTAGTGTTTATGTGAAGCTTTAAGTCCCTGCACGTTGCTGAAGAAACGCCGTCATGTTCACCCGGGTGTGTCCTAGGAACTCATATTCCGACTAAATCATGAAACTCATTGCACATTTGTTTACACACAGCTCATCAAAAGTACAAACAGCTCATTAACATTTCTTCATTCTGACATTTAAAAATAAAATCTCCTGCTTTTTTTTCTTTACACAATCCCACTAAACGTGCGATTTGAAAATTTCTGTAGTGATAGGAAATGGAGTAGTGCAGCTGTCTTTACAGCATCACAGGCACTGTGATAAGATCCAGTGACAAGTAGTCAAAACCAACTTCCTGCACGTGTCAGAGCATAAAATGAAGTGTTACAAAATGAATAACTTGTCTTTAAGCTTCTCACGACTGCCTCTCACTTGAATCACCTCCGTAAGGATTAGCATGACAATCCTTGTCTAACGCCCGCCTCCTGTCTTACTGAGACGTCTCAAAAATATGAAACTACTTACTGTGAATATTCCTTTCACACATAAATAAAGGAACACACAGTGTGTCCCCTCTGTAGATGAGGGATTCTTATTTAAGGTCAACCCTTCTTATTCGAACGCTGCTAAAGAAGGATACAACACATGGTTTCTCTCCCATTAGGAGACTGTGACTAACACCCAACGAGGAGTTACGAGAAAACAAATCACTCTTCCAAAAGAGGCAACCACTGAAATAATCGCACAACATGAAGGAGCAAAATTAACAAAGTCAGAGAAAAAGCTTGGATTTTCAGTTTTAGGTCTGCTGAAATCAGAGAGCTTATTCCTTCCTATTTGGCTGTAGTGATAAGTCCGTCAGCCCAGAGTGTTGAATTCAGAGCATAAAGTCTTTTTTTGTCTTTTCTTTTTTTTGGTGATGCAAAAGTCCTGGGAAACGAGTGCACTTTGACACACAAGAAGAAGCAGCCAAACACCTGGAATGCGCTTGATGAGTCTTTAAAGCAAACATTTAGAAACATTTTTTTTTTCTTTCCCCCCATCCTCCCGAGTGGAATTGCACTGAACTGAAATCACACACACTGATGTAGCTGGAGAGGTGATGCGGCTCAGATGGGAGCTGGGCCTCGTCTGTCTTTATTTGCTGAAAAGTCCTTGTTCTCATGGCCATCTCCGTGTAGGTAAAGAGCAGTTCTGCCTGAGAGAAGCATCCACGGTTTGACCTACAAACCGTGTCATTTGTCCTTATTCAGCCTTTCTCCGGTTCCAAAAAGTGCGAGTATAGGTTCGTTTTTTCAATAGTGTCATGGAAATGTATCACACTAGTCCTTCTCTCCGTCTTCACTGCTCCCTGGAGTGAACAGAAGAGGACTGAGAGAGTTAAAACATGCATTCAACTGAGTGATGAATATTACAATTAACAGTAGTCAGTGGAGATGTCAGCTAGGATAGTGACATTAACTGTGGTTACATAGACAATATTTTATACATAGATGCTAAATAAAGTGATCCGATAAGATGGATGTTTACATACCACAAAGCATTTGATCAAAATATAACTTTTCTGACTTGCACAAACTGGTTCCCTCCCTCTAATCTGCCAGTAATATAACAGAGGAAGTT